ATCATTGAAACTAAAGGAACAGCACCACAAATGGTTCTGTAAGACTTGTTATTTCATTATGCATGGATATATATAAATACAGGCACACTGTAGTATGTGTGGCTAACAGCAGCCACAAAATTACACCTGTAACTGGTTTAATGACCAAAAAAACCCTCTTGGTCTGGGCTCTGCACAACTAAGATAAGCACAATTTACTTTCTCATCACCAAGATGTGTTTCACTGAGCAACACTCAAAATCTTCATGTCAGGAATAATGAAGCAGTACTACAAAAAGAAATCAGACATAATAGGCTCTTACAGATGTATTACTTTAATGATCACTGCCTTCTTTTTCAGTTTTAAAGCTATACATAAACTCAAGGAGTTAATTGTTTGTACAACAAGGAATGTGAGGGTGAACTAGCAAAGTTGGGCCAGCGCTTGACCAGTGTTTTCAATGAGAGCATAATTCAGCAATTGTGTGTTCCACAATGGTGCCAGGGTTTAAACACCACAGAAAGCAGCAATGACCTCTCTTTTCCCCATCCCCACTCTTGAGTTAGCAAGAATTTGTGAGTCCTCTTACCTCAGATTAGGGGGTTGTGTCCTACTAGAAATTTGTCTCATTGGGGCAAAATATTTCTGGTTTATAAAGGAGGGAAGTACAGCCTTTAAAAGCAAGCTACATTCTGATGAAAATAAAATAAAGAAAGGTCAGCTTGATCTTCCTCCTTGTATAGAAGAAATAGAGAGTTTAGAAACTAAACACTCATTCAAATAGTTAGAAAACTGTAGAGTGGTTTATAGGGAGAAGATGGTAATGGTTGGGACCTAATAGTTTGAGTCTTAAAAATCAAAAAAAGCAAACCAAAACAAAAACAAAACAAAACAAAACAACAACCAAAAATGCCCTTAACACTGTAAGCCTTCATAGGTAAATTTTCTGACTAGCATAGGCGATTCCAGCTCTTCTGGGAGGAGTGCCTTCTCTTTCCAAAATTTTGTACCTTGTTCTGATGACTCCTTTTCATTTGTCTCTCTGAAAACTCCTCAACCACATCTGCTTGAGCTGGGAGGTAGGTTCCATTTACCTTTAGAGCCATAAAGGGACTCTGAAGTTGGCTATAGATGCTGAGTGGCCAATGCCTATGGGGAGCTGGAAGATGGAGATGGCAGGGAGAGATGACAGGATAGGAGGAAGGAAACCAGGCTCTGAAGTCAGGGACTTGTCTGCAGTGGTGTTTTGTTTGGAAGGATAGATAAATATGATTGCCTAGCCTCTGGTCCTGCCCACACAGAACCACTGTGCCACCAAAATGAGCAGTGGCAGATCTCCACAGGCACCCAGCACTGGTAGGATCCAGCACCTGATAGCAATGGAGTGCTGGACAGAGAGGGGTGGAGAAAGAGAGAAATGGAGCAAAGTATAGAAGCACAAACTGAGTCACACACGTGAGAGATGCAGCTTTTTTCAGAGAAAATGCCACACAGAAATTGCCAATGAAGAAAACAGAAAGTGAGGCCGGATTGAGCTGGAGCAGATGCAAGAAGTTAATTGGCAAAGATGACATGAATTTAGACAAAAATCTGTAGATAAGTTTTTTATTCAAATACATGTAAAACTTGGCATTTGCCACTTCACAGGATAGCAGTTCTCTTTGTTGTATTACACTTCAAAGTTGCATCAGTTGCATCCATCACAGTGGAAAGATGTGTTCTCCTTGCTCCACAACACAGGGATATAGTAGGGGCTGCTTACTGCCAAGGTACCACCATTTTCACAATACCCAGGAGAAAGTCATCTTTATTATTTTAGTGTTCTGCTTTTTTATATTTCAGATTAGCTCCTGATCACCCTGCTGGGAAGTTTTGTTTTGTTGTGATGTGGGTCTCTTTTTTTTTAAAAGGCTCAACCTCTATTTTCAACCTCTGACAAAAAACTACCTTTTTTCACTTGTAAAGAAATCTAAATTACATGATCCCTTCTAAAACTAAGAGCTTTTATACCATTTTCAGATCAGAACTAAGCAATCTGATATTTTTTTTCTCATGGTTCCCTACAGAGACAGTTTTGCTTTACCTGCAATGTGCATTTTTCTGTGTGCCCATGCTGTTGCATTGATTGTCCTTGAACCAGCAATCTTTATTATGGGACTATCATTTTTGGTGTAAGTGCATAGTCCCACTGTTGCTTGTTTGTATGGTTTTTTTGATTCCCAGAATATTGTACAGTTCCAGAAAGCTTCTTGGCATCTCAATAGAGACTGTAATTTTATCTTCACCTTTTAGGATCAGCTTTGTTTGGAACAGATAGCTCATTAGGAATTGTTTCACTGGGTTTTCAATACACAAACTAGTCTCTGCACCCATTGTTTCAGCATTCTTTGAAATATCTTTGCTATATTAATTTATTCAGTTTGCCTCCACATTGTTATCAATTTTCTATTTTTATTTAGAAATAGAAATGCTCCAATGCCTTTGGCTTCTGGAACAAGTGATTTCTGTAGAAGTTCTACTGTCTCAATACGTGCTTTGCCTGCAGCTCATTAAATGCCTTCACACTGTGCAGAGGGTTATAAATTTTAGTCTTTTTGTGCCCCATAAAACTCACGTTTCTTTTTATGTCAGGCGTTATATCAACCAAGTTATACTGTTCTAGTCCCCTGCTAGGGGTGGGGGATGCTGTGAGACTGAACTAGAAATCACATGATTTTTACCCAGGCCTGTTTGCTGTCTTTACAGGTGTTTTAGTTATTCTTACTAAGCTAGAGGGATTCTGAAAACAGGTATTACTTTAAAAGCATTCCAACTTTAACTTAGCATTTTCTTGAAAGTCTTTTGCCAGAATGTACAAAATCTGACAAAAAGTTGGGCTTCTAAGGCCCTTCTTCAAGGCAATGCACCAGTCTTTCACGTGGTGGGCACACCTCCCCAAGACTTGCTATTTGGAAGCAACAAGCAGAAATAATGCACGTTTTTTTTCAGGGAGAGAAAACAGGAGGGAGGGGAGAGGGATCAGTATATGTGAGCAGCTCCCAGGTTCCCTGTGCCTAGAATGAAATCCAGTGACCAGTGTCTGTACAAGGTCATGTGAAGAGATGGAAGGGAGCTGTTATTGCCCAAGAGAAAGAGAGAAAAGAGGAAGGATGATTAGCACTGGGTGACTTATTGATGGACAGCTCTTAACCTAACCATATCATGTCAAATTTTCAGCCTGCTTAAGTCTTATTCCTGATTCTCTGTTGTCTTGTTTGCAGCTAGGATAGAGTTCATTTTCTTCCTACTATGCAATACAATACTGTGTTTTTGATTTAGTAGGAGCAATATTGATTACATACTGATGCTTTGATTTTCTTCCTACTATGCAATACAATACTGTGGTTTTGATTTAGTAGGAATAATATTGATAACACACTGATACTTTGGTTGTTGCTGTGTAGTATTTATTCTAAGTCAAGGACTTTTCAGTGTCTCATGCTCTGCTACTGAGGAGGTGCACAAGAAGTTGGGAGGGATCACAGCCAGGACAGCTGACCCAAACTGACCAAAGGGATATTCCATACCATAGAATGCCATGCTCAATATGTAAACAAAGGGGAGCTGGGAGGGGCTAATTGCTGCTCAGGACAGACTGGGCATCAAAAAATGTAGTTTTTTGATATCTCAGAGGGTGGTGAGAAATTGTGAGCAAAAACACTGTTTTTTCTTGGGTTGTATTCTTCTCCTGCACTATTATTCTTAGTTACTATATTTATTTTATTTCAATTATTAAACTATTCCTATCTAAACTCACTAGTTCTACCAGGTTTTTTTTCCTGTTCTCCATCCCACCAGGGGCAGGGTGGGGTGAGAGTGAGAGCACAGCTGAGACAGCTCAGTCACCACTTGGGGTTAAACCACAATACCTGTCTTTGCTGTTTGACACAATCACTGACCATTCCTTTAAGAGCAGGGCAAAAGCACAGACTATTAGGAGTACAGGAGTCCTTCTCAAAAACTAACCTGATCCTATAATAGTAATTGTTCTCTGGCTGAATTCAGACTGGGGGATGGTTGTCATTTTTCATGGGCACTCACCACCTCACAGGACTGTGCTCTTAAACTCCCCTGATTATAAATGAAAAGTGGCAGTGTCTTGTTTCTGTGTTACTAGCATCCTCTATGTTTACACTGGTATTTATAGCTCTTCTTTTCTTTGTCCTATAGTAACGCTCCTGAGCTCCTCATCTCCTTGTATAAAAGCTAATCAGTGCAGAAGTATTACTGATACCTAACCCCTTCCCTGAGCTTACAGAGGAAGAAGGAATTCAGCTCCTGAAAGCTGTAAAATAAAAAGCAGGACCACAGCACTGACCAAGAGCAAACCTGTTTTTAATTTACTTATCAGACTAAGTTGATTCCTGTTAAGGAAGTTACTGTAAAATATTCCTCTTCCACTCAAATTCTGTGACAAGGCTGGTGACCAAAACCGTGTGTTATATCTGGAAACCCACACTGAGAGGGAAGAAATAGGATTCAATTTGCACACAAATACAAGCTCCTGCACGGCATATTTATGACAAAATGTACATCAAGGAGGAATCCAAAGGGCTCAATTTTTAGAAAGGCTTAATCCCCTTACAGCAAAGAGGATGTAATTACAGGCATTGCTGTTTGCACTCTCAACTTTTCCATCCTTATTTGCAGCAAAAATTATAGATATTCCTTACTACTATTCCAGAATTAGACTCTTCTGTTTTGCTAATGGTTTGTACATAATTCAAAATCAATCACTTTTATAATATTCTCTTTATTTTGTTTAATAACAGGCATGTTTGTAATCAATGGAAGCATGACGAACCATAATTTAACCACGGTGCTCTTTGCTTCTACTTTAGCCACAATTTGAAATCCCATCTATTTTAGACTTGGGCATTAAAGGTAATCTCATGAGTAGAGATAGGCACTACATAAAAATAGAAACTTATGCTGTAAGATGTTTAACGTAGCCACTTAAAAGCCATATTAACCCGAGCTGTGGTCATGAGCAAGACTTAGAACCTGGGAGATAGAAATGTGAATAAACAAAAAGGGACACTTACCGTGTAACAACATGGGCTCCCAAGAATCCTTACCAGATGCCCCTGCACAGATGCACCATTATTACAGCAAATTTATGAGAGAATGTCCATCTGGGCTGCTTAGTCTGCATGAATTCAAGAGACTTTTGGATCTTCAAGGGCTGGATCCACAAGGAGACCTATACATTAAACGAGTGTTTGATATCTTTGATCTGAACCAGGTAAACCTTATTCTCTTTTGTTTTGTTTTTTTTCTAATTTTATACTATTTTTGTTTTGAGTTGTAGTCTGCAGTCTCTTTTTTTGTTCTATCCTTCCAAAACTGCTCTTGTGGACAGGCTTGCCATTAAGGTGCACTAGAAGTGAAAAAGTGAGACTATGCTTTGAGGATTTGGATTAGGACTTCTGTTAGTACTTTCTGGGGACACTTAAAAAAATGTCAGGAAACAATTCTTAAAAAGAGAGGTAATTTCCAGTTCACTGGTTATTTTTGTATTCATTGCTTATCCTGTGCTTGTATATATGAAAATGTTGGTGTGCTCAAAGTTAATAAGTTCTTACAACAATGTTAGACAAAGGGGAAATATAGTCTGCACATAACTGAAGATGAAGAGTGTATATAAATGGATTTAAGTGGATTTTCTCAGAGTATTATATTGAATGTGTGGCAGAGGGGGAAAGAACTCAGATAAGGAGTTCACACTCAGTGTACCAGTCACAAGACCAAATACTACTGAATGAAGAGGTCAAGAAGTTTCTCCAGCCTATACTTCTAATTTTCCCTCTTTTCTACTGCAATAACTGCTTATGATTGCAATCAGCTCCCAGACAGACAAGATGTGTTTTCCTTAGTAGTACAGACAAGGCTGAAGACACAGTCATCTGGTACTTCTGTGTAGCATCCTTTTCTAGGCCTGTCTTGAGCACTGCCACAAGTTTATAAGGTCCTGGAGCTGGCCACCTTGAGCCTCCACTCATTGTGATGCTGAGTGGCCTGGGGCACATGCTCTCCAGTACTATGAAACTTTCATATTTGTTGAGACCTTCAGATTCTGGATTAATGTAAAAGTGAGGAGAGTGGGATCAAAGAAGGTTAGAGAAAGAGCTGTGGCAGTGGCCAAAGACACTTAAAACAAAATAGGAATCATCTGCTAATTGCTGCTACTCTATTTGGTGTTACAGAGTTGTGTCACTGCTCTGCAGGCTGTCATCACTTGCACACAAAGTGGTTAAGCTGCCAGGCACTAAAACAGCTGCTTTTATGAGAAATAGAGGACAGATGCTTGGAGGGACTTAACAGGCATTTTAAATGTAGGTGGGAGGTATGTGTGGCGTCAGAAACAGAGAGGCACGAAGCTGCAGCAGGACTGTCAGCTGGAGAACACACTGCTTTTTCAGCAAGGCTTTCAGCTGTCCTGAAAGATCTCAGCTGCCCCATCTGTGTGACTGAACTCTCTTTTACTGCAAACTTTCTTGCTGCATCTTTCTGAACTGTTGTCTTCATCCTTTTGTCTTCCTCAGATGTGCTAAGATCAATACAGGCTAAAAAATGGGGTAATGGCCAGGAATTCAGTCTCAGGGGAGAACTAGTTCATCCCCCATCCTATTTCAGCACAACTTTCAGGAGCACATCCCTGGGGGACTGTGGAGTAGGGCTCTATAGTCAGCACAGCAGAAAGAATTTTCCTCTGTTGTCTTCTCCCTTGCCTGTATTTTGTAATTCTTGGGGTCACATATACCAGAGTATATGTGTATAGTCAGCACAGCAGAAAGAATTTCCCCGTTGTCTTCTCCCTTGTCTGCATTTTGTAATCCTTGGGGTCACATATAGCAGAGCAGTGAGGGGTGTCCTGTTTAACTACACAAACTGGGTAGGTTGGAATGAAGTCCCTTCACCAGAGAAGGTCATGTGTGTCCTTATGGTGTCTCAGTGTAGCACTCTACCAGTCCCTACAGATATCCTTTCTTTTCAGGTGTCTCACAGCTAGTTTTTCTAAAATATTCAGCTTTCCACATAATGTGTAGTTGAACTGTGATTACAGCAAAGACATCCCAACCTGTAGATCAGTTTCCAAGCAAAAATAAAAATGAGGACATAAACCCCCAGAAAACAGAGTAGAGAAATAGGTAGTAAACAGTAGAGCAGCTGGCAATCAAGCTAAAGTGCAGCAAAGCTCAGAAATCTATGCTGATCCATAGCCTGTGAGCATTTGTCAACTTCACTAAAACTTAACCTTAATAAATATATCTAAAAGAACTTAAAGTTAACATGACTGAGACGAAATAAAAATCAATCTTAACAAAAATTAATTTATTTAAACCCCATTATTACAAAAAGGTTACTGAAAATTTGTCATATAACAGTTAAGCATCAAAATAAACAACATGCAAGTAAACAACACTGTACTGAAATCTTTACAATAAAATTACCTTGTTAGAACTATGGAGCAAAAAGCAAGCACTTAATAAAGCTGACAGTAGAGTTTATGTATTAATTATAGTTAAATCTCAAATAACCACTGCAGGTCAAGTTCAAGGTTTCTCTTGAATGTGAGCTAAAGATTCTTGAATTTATGACTTATATAATTACTCTCAGCGAACTATGTAGTTTTGCTATGTTATTAATCTGTAAAAAGACACCACCTCTATACCAACACCTTTGAATTTCTCTAGCAACAATCCTGTTAAAAATCACAATTCAAAAGTTAGAATAGGTAAATTTTAACACTGGCTGGTGCCAGGTAGGGGGGGGCCACACCCCCTGCAGCAGCTTTAAAGATTGCTTGTAGGATAGATTTAAGTTTGGCTTAAGAAGAGTAATAGGATATAAACACTGAAGGCTGAAACAAAAAGAGATTTAGTTATATAGTGCTAAATAGCTGTACCAAAAAATTCACAGCAAAATACATTGTAAATAAAAACAAGGGACTGGTAATAGAATCAGTTTGACCAGGGCTAGGTGTCCCTCAGGGCCTTAGGTCTGTATCAAGCATCCCTCTGGTAGCTGCTGTTCCCTCCAATGCTTGAAAGTGCCTGAAAGGAATAATAGCAGCATGGTAAGAGGTTTTTTTTGACAATTTGTTATAGATTGAAAGCCCATTCAAAACTCATTACATTCAAGTCATCCATACAAATACCAACAGGAATACAGCTGCAAGCCAAACCTTATCATTCCCCGCCTTTCTCTAGGTTGGAGATAAAAAAGTATTTCAGCTCCCCACTCATGGAAATTAATGGCCAGTGGACAAATGACAGGGAAAGGGACATTTTCACAGAGTAATTTAATGCCATTGTGGTCTCCTCTGGTCTCACAGCAGGCAAATCATTTTATGCCAAAGAGGCAATGGTGCTGTGGCTGTTTGGCTTCTTGGGCTCAGTTATTTCACATGGTAATGTGTGTATGGGCACATCTGTGAGGTACAGGTGCATCCCTAAGATACAGGTACAACTGTGAGGTACAGGTACATCTGTGAGATACAGGAACAACTGTGAGATAAAGGTACATTTATCTGTGAGATACAGGTACAACTGTGAGGTACAGGCACATTTATCTGTGAGATACAGGCACAACTGTGAGGTACAGGTACAACTGTGAGATACAGGTTCAATTATGAGGTACAGGTACATCTGTGAGATACAGGTACAATTGTGAGGTACAGGTACATCTGTGAGATACAGGAACAACTGTGAGGTACAGGTACATTTATCTGTGAGATACAGTGCCTGTTCAAAGCACAAAGGCCATTTCCAGGTGGGACAGAGTGAAAATTTAACAGGCTAGAAATCCATTTGGATTTTGGTAAAATGTGCCACTTTAAGCTTGCTAAATATGCTGTTTAGTCTGGTGACTGCAGCCCTAGCAAAACTACCCCAGCTAAGGAGAAAGAATGCAGATTTCCACACTAAAAGATAAGTCACCTTGAACCTTAAAACAGACAGGGCAGAGTGACCCAGGAGTTCTTTCTGTACTTTCTGACAAAAACTGAGTACAAGTGTAACTAGCTGTAAGTGTAATTCAAAATCAGCAGAATAAATATGCATTAAGCTATTTTGAAATTCTATGCATATGGAAATTAGTAAGGGTAATAAAGAAGGATGGGGAGTTCTCAGAGGTGCACATGTCCATTGAAGGGCAATGAGTCCCCAGATGTGAATAAACACACCCATTCCCTACAAATCTTTATTGGAACTGTGGGGTTTGATTTTTCATCCACGTTTCACAGGCAGGGCCTATTTCTGTGTGAGTTTAGCGACAAAGGCTGTGTCTGAAAATCTTTTTCTCAGGAACATACTAAATAAGCACTAACACTTTCTAGTGTGCTTCTTGTACAGACCACCAGTGGTTTCACAGCTAAATGACCCTATACACCAGGGACACAGATGTCTTTTAATTTTTTTTAAGTTTCTTAAAAACGGGGACTATCATGTGAAGGTTTTTTCAGCCCTTCCTCACCCTTTGTGGGATGCTTTGCTAATAATTAAACATACAAACAAGCAAACAAATAAATATGCTAGTGAACTTTGAAAGCTGTTCTTAATCATTCTTAACAGCATTGAAAAATAAAGGTGCTGAACATTCAGAACTGTAATTGTAAAAATCACTTGCCTTGAGATTATCACATGGAGTGCAGAAGACAGCATTTCAACAAATGTTTTGTTGATGACTCATACATTAATACTTGTAAGCATTATTTATATAATGACATTGACAGGATAATAAGTGATAAGTTTATCTTTTGCCATAGCTTTCCAGTGAAAACTTTCAAAAATAATGTGTTTATTAAAATACAAGTGCAACCAAATTTATTTTTTTAAAGGATTTCCTTTCTTAGATTTGAAGAGTCCCTTCTTAGGGAAAAATTATCTCTGTCTTTTTCGCCCTTAAGCTATTTGTAATACAAAAAGGATAACTCTGCAAGCATCACAAACACATTTAATTCTTCCTGCTTTTTTTCCTTCCCTGGTGTCTCAGTCCACTCATAACTGGCAGTCCTAATGATGAATTTTAGAGAGGAAACAGTTATGTTCACCTTAAATATCTCAGCAGTTGCCAAGTATACTGATGTATATGTGGTTTTCAGTGAGAATATGTATCATATTTCAGTGCTATTATATCCATCAAAATGAGGTTTCACTGATGTTGAAGGAGAAAACATATCTAGAAAAATAATGTCTGGTGTATACATAATACATTGGAAGTGTTATTTGCTCTTAGGCAGAA